TTAAAACAATAAATTCAATAAGTGAAAGACATTAACTTTGTCCCCCGGTGGGTTTTAAGCAGTTTGTGGTGGAACAAAAGTGACCGAGGTCAGTGGGTAATTTCGTCACGCACACACTCTTTAGTCTGTGGATGCAGGTCCAATAAGTCGACTTCCTGGATAACTCCCACAGCGCTTCCTCTTCCTCCAGCTGCTGTCGTCCTGACCTGACTCTGGTCATCACTTTTTCCCTTAAAACACCCACATAACCCACACCGTGTGTTCCTGTCAGCTCCGCTCATTTCTTTCAGATGTAAAGCAGCAAGTTTGAGTACTAATGTCAAACCTTGTACTGGTTGTAGAAGCTGAGTACTCGCTCTCTCTTTTTATAGTTGTACTTATAAGTCTCAGTGCATTTAAGAAGGTTCATTAATCAAGAAATATTTCTGTATGACCTTTCAAGCCTGGAGCTACTACTGCAGCCGAGTACTGTTTAATGAAATGTAGAAAGACTAATAATTTCAGAGCACGCTCAGTAGAGTGTCTCTTCCTAATTGAGTCTCCCATGATGGGAATTTATATCAAACATTATTTCTGATGTTTTTTTCCCTATCCTCCTCCCACTCTTTGCCTGTGGATATGTGATTATGTGTCTTCATGAGTGTATTCTCCTTTATTTTGTACTCTCTATGGCAGTGTTGTTGCATGAATTCATGTGCCCGTTTGTGACACGTCATCAGATGTGAACCAGCGCCACACAGTGTGTTCAGTCATCACCGCTCACCTTTGTTTCCTGATGGCGTTCTAATGCGTTTACACCTTTTTTTCCCCCTCCGATCTTTTACAGGTAAAGAGGACGAGTTTCCCAAGAAGCCTCTAGGGCAGCTTCCTCCTGAGATAGCCGTAGCAAACCACGTGGCCAACGGTCAAAGCCACGCGGAGCCAGCCGAGCCCCCCAGGGAGCCAAGTCCTCTACCAGACCCCCAGCTGGACGGACGGCCCCCGAGCCGAGCCCACCGGGAATCGCTGGAGAAACGGATCCGTCACCACAAGGGGGACAAAAGGGAAACCCACTCCAGGGGGTCAGGTGAAATCTCAAATGAGACACAAAAGCAATCCACCTACACCACACCAGAGAGGGGGGCGACACCACTGTCAGCCCCCACCCCAACACCACAGATGACCGCTGTGGATGGAGGAAAGGCTCACGCCATCGCTAACCACAACTCCAACGCAGCCTCTAGCTCCCGCAGAGACATGCCTGGGCCCCGGTGGGTCAAACCCTCCGAGACAAAGCTAGAAGCTTTGCGGGAAATTCAGATGAGCCGAGGGCCATCGCCGGCTCCTTCCAGCCCAGATGACACCGCTCAGCCTCACCGCCGGCCACGCTCCAAGGGCTACGCCCCCGGCACCGACCGAGGCTCCAATGCCTCCCAGTATGATAATGTACCAGGGCTGCCGGAGCAGGACTTCGAGATCCTGGAGCTTGAGAAGCCTCCGTCCAGATTGAGGCCCTTTCGTAATGAGATACCCTACAATGTGTCAGCCCTGCATCAGGGCAGCCCGAGCCACGGGTCCAGCCTGTCTGGGACTGTCGTCTCCGTGGCACCCAGGCCCAGAATGGCCAGACAGCCTCTTCCTCCTCGTTTTCCTCACAACAGTCCTGTAAATGTTCCGACTGGCTACCCTGACCCAAAGAACCAGTTCCATACCCCACCTCATCAGCACTCTCCAGGCAGGACTACTACTGAGGTCCCCATTCCACATCCCACCCAAAGCGTGGACAACAGACTCTATGCTCTGCCCTCCCGATATCCTGCACCGCCCAGTGCATTGTATGGAGAACGAGCGTATGCCACCACCCAGCGACAGCCCAACAGCTTCTCCCCAGACAAGACCCTCATGAATAACACCTTCGCCACCTACCGCAGGCAGCCAACGCACAGCTCCGCCCGCAATCCTCGGAACCCCAGGCCTCCCCTGGAGCTGGACAACCAAGGGAGCTCCACCCCCATCTATCTGCAACAGCTCACCTCCACAGCACAGGTCTACAGGTTCGAAGGACACCAGCGGGGTGAGCCAAACCCGCACTACCTGCCAGCTCAGCAGGGTGTAGATGGGCTCCAGTGGGAGCCAACGGAGGAGTTGCCCCCTACATCCCCAGGTGGGATGCCTCGCTCGCCCAGCTTCCAGAAGGCGCAGATGTCGCCCCTCGCAGAGTTCACCTTCCCCGACAACCCGGACGCCCTGCGTCAGTACCGACCGCAACTCCAAGAGCAGCAGCAGCACCAGCAGCCTGTGTTACGGCAACAGCTTCCTCAGCTGTTTGGAGGACCACACTACAGGCACGCACAGGAGGCGTTTGCCATGCAGGAGTCCATGCTGCTGTGACAGGACAATATGACGAGACACTGTAAAAACTAAAAGAAAAGAAAACTGAGGCGTAGTCACCAACACTGTGGTAAAGACGACCAGTAGTCCTAGCTTTGTTAGGAACCGGCTTCTACTTTGGTTCTGTTGTCGTTCATGTGTGAAGTACTGACCTCCCGACTGTCACGCTGCATCGTAACGTTGCAGGACCCACCAGCCGCTGTTTTTACTGATCACTTTAAAAAAAAAAGATTAAAAAGACTGACTGAAGATTTAATTTTATTTTTGGATGTAAATCATTAACAAGAGGTGACAAAATATAAATATATCTTTTAGAGTCTGATATGTACAGAAGATTTTTTCTTTTCTTTTTTTTTGAGTTATCGGTAACAGGGGAATTTTCTCCTGAGAGCCGATTTATTTTCCATCTTTATTTTTTTATATCTTACTCTCCAGATATGTACCGTAGAGATCAATTAACTCGATATGCTTGTGAATGTTCTTTTTAAAGAAATATGACCAATGGTAGAATTAGCAAACAGTGCTACACAGGTTACCGTGTGTCTTGATTTCCATTTAAATTTTTTTAAGCAGGTTTTGTTAAAACATGTTTAGGACCATGCTTTCTTTAGTTTTTGTCCATTACTAATAGTTTGTTTTTGCATTACTTCAGGCCAGTCTTGTTTTTAATTAATTTCAACTGGGCGGCTCAACATATAGACAGCTGATTTTTGAGGGCTAATATATACTTTTTAAAAAAAAAAAAAAATTATGGCTTTAAGTTATCTTGATTGTTATGTAACCATTGATAACACATTTTTTAAATTGCTGTGACATAGTTATCACATCTCGAGCACATGGAGTCCGAGGTGCTTTTAAACTACTTTCAGTACAAGGTCGCTTAACTTCATTATGTCTTACTTCTCTCAACAATGTCACATCCACTGGCATACAGTCATCCGGCGCGCGCACACGCACGCAACAAATGTGAGTCGCATTTTTACCCACCTACTTTTCATACTCTGATGTAGATGCAAGTACTTTCAAACAGTACTAAAATGTTCTTTACGTCCCCTCAGTCATCTTTGGGTTTTGTTTTAGTTGTGAAACAACTAATTGCAGTCCATTCTGATACTTTGCTTAATAAAAAGAGGTCGGATGAAAATGAACCTTTAAATTTGTTTGTGGTTTTTTAAAATCAGCTCAATAAAAAAAGGTGGGGGGGTGATATCAGGTGTTTTTATATATATATTAGGATGCAGTGCATGGAGAAACACTGTAAATGAGTTTCCAGTGTTGCGAAAGCTTCCAAACCACCACAATTCCTGGATAATGGAATTTCTTGTGCACTCCAAAGGGGCCACGGGTTTTACTTCTAGGACTTTAATGAATATTTTTGTTTAGCAATCAGCAGTAAAAGGAAAATGCACAGGCTTCTGTCACGTAACGGTCACATATTGTTGTCTTTATTGTATACAGCGTTCAATTAGCAAAAAGCCAATTGAGAGCAATGGCAAACCCTGAAAATGTAAACTGTCATTTTAATTCTGGAGTCACTTCAATGCTCTCTCAAGTGCATCTATAAACAATTCAATGCAACATGCAGTGTCGGCACCTTTACTGTGCTCTGCATATGCTCAGCCCTCAGTGACCCTAAAAACTTCCACTTTGGAGTAATCCCACTTACAGCTGATCATGGAATATCTAGGAAGTGAAGCAGTCGGTGAAACCAAATGATCAACTGATTGTTTAAATGATATTTATTTCACAATTAGCATACTTGACTAATTTCAGCCTCTTACTTTTAAAGATTTTCTGGCCCTTATGAGCCATTACATTTTTTATTACTGGAAAGACGGGTGGTGGTGTATGTGTCCTGACATTTTAGAAACTGTTTAGTCAAGACTGACTCAGGAAGAATGGAAGTAGTTTATTGCGTCCCTGCTCTAATCAAAGCCAACGAGAAAATGAACATCAAATACAGAAATAAATAACATGTTGCTGAAGACTTTGTAATAAGAGCTGGTAGGCTGCCTAACATCGGCATTCAGCAGCTTGCTTCCACGCTGTTGTTGTGCATCTTTCTGGATAAATTAGCAGGAGACAGCTTCTGAGCTTTGCTGGATAAGCAAAGGATGCTTGGCAGGGCTGTGAAGGTTTGTGCAAACGGTTAACAAATCCGTGGTAGGAGAAGCTGAAAGAGACACCTGTGATGCACCGGGATGTTGCTTTGAATCCAGAACATCTTAAAGCTCAGTCATGTTATTTCAATCCGTGGTTGGAAGCAGATAAATCTGTGAGGAGAGCTCAGAATATTTTATGGAAAATTCTGGATTGATCCAAGAAAACCTTAGAATGTGGGGCACGTTTGGTATGTGATATATTTTATACTTTAACATAGCGCTCTGTGCACATGCTCACTCTGCACCACTACAGAGCTTAGATTCTATCTGATTACATGCCTCCCAGAAGGCTTAATGGATTAGTCGACCACAGGAAATTATGCCTTTTTTTTGTTTGTTTTTTTCATGTCATCTTGCAAGTAATTCATCCAGCAAATAAGCAACAATATTCAGGTACACGATGCATTCAAAGTAGCTTCAATGTGATGCTTCTTTTGCTGAAAGGTGTACGAAACCGAGATTAATAGGTTAGGGAAGCATGACGAAGGTAGCTCTCCTCACCTGGCTGGAACACAGTTGTGATGAAAAGATAATCCGTTCTGATTTTTCGTTTAAAACACGCTGGAAGTGATACATTGTTGCGTGTGGTTTGGGGGTTTTTTGTTTGTTTTTTGCCTCATAGTGAACCTATATACCATTTTTTCCATTTGGCACCAAATACAGAAAAAGGAAACCATCACCCTCAGTCTGAGTGGGTCATTTATCAGCAGAAGTTGGCTAATTCCCAAGCTGAAGAAGCACTCGCAAACCAAACATCTCTTCTGAGAGAAGCCTGGCCTACATCCAGGTAGCAGTACCATTGCTAAAAGTCAACTTTGTTTAGGAAGGTTCCTGAATGAGTGAAGACACCCTAAATGTCATGCATGTCAGTCATAATCAAAGCTGGTCAAACCAGCTTTAATGAAACGCACTTGAATTCTTTGTTTATTCCATCTGCAATACCATCTGGAAATTGGTCATCTTAATGACAATGGCCTCATTTTTCAGCATGACAACAATCCCAAAGACACAGCAAATGTAGGAAAAGCATAGCTAGATAGAATAGAATAGAATAGAATAGAATGCCATTATTTAGAAAAACACAATGTTTCAGTAACGACCGGACCTAAACATTACTGGAGCAGTGTGTTGTGCCTCCACGTATTTTTATACACGTTTCAGTAAATTACTGCATAAATTTTCCGTTTTTCTAGCAAAATGTGAAAAGGAAAGGAGGGATTGATGAACACTTTTTCACACTGTTATGTCTTTATGAAAGCAGGCTTTGCTTGTTTAGAGCTGCCTGGGTCAAGTCGCCTAAGCATCGCAATTTGGATTAAAGTCACTCAGATGCTCACCCTCACCCATTTCCCCTGCTTCCTCCTTTTTATGTGCTTTTTAAAAAATAGATGAGGCTAAGAAAATACCAGAAAAATACACTTCCCATAAAAATTCTCAGATAGCTGAAGAAGAACCACGTAGACAGGTTGGTGTTGTGTATGAGGCCCCAGGTTGAAAGTCTACAATGTAAAGATTTACTACATGAAATGAAACTAGTCATGCACATAGCTACTGATACTGACCAATCGTCCCACTCAGCCTCATAATAGATACACCTATGGTATCAATTTCAAAATTCTACATCATCTTGTTCTAAAGTTATCACATTTACAAGATTTTCAGACAACTTGACCTCTGACCCCTGACCTTGAGCCAGAGTTCACTAAGATCTGATTCTTTGCAAACACATTCATAAGGCTCGCAGAATGACTGTCCAACAGGGGGGAAGAACTGCAAATGGATTCTTGTGATTCTCCTAAATTCTGCACTCACTGACATATTGCACCTAGTTGAATTCTACAATACATACATACATACTCATATGCAGTACAGGGGCCCCACAGGGAACTGTGCTGGCATGCACCCTGGATCCGGTGCAGGTGGTGGGAGACAGAAGGACTGGCCAAAATAACTTCTCTGATGGACAGAGTCTCCCACCCCGTGCATGTAAATGTTGCTGGACTGCAGAGCTCCTTCAGTGACAGACTGCTGCATCCTAGATGCTTGAAGGAGCGTTTCCGCAGGTCCTTCCTCTCTACAGCTGTCAGACTGCACAATCAAAACTGCTCCCAACAAACATAGAGGTTTACATCAGTGCTGTGACAACTTCTGCTGTTATAACTTGCACATTACTTCTCTCAGTCTATATATACACTAACTTATTGGAAGTTACATGTCTACTTTTTAATGCACAGGTAAAATACACAACCTGCACTTTTCAAAATATTCAAAATATTCTAAATATGTAAACATCTTTCAGTATCTTGCTCTGTTTGCACACTACAACCTGGGTTTGTATGTAAAATATGTAAACATTGTCTTTCTGTTCTGTGTGTATTTTTGTTTCTTTTTGCCGCTTATACATCAAATTTCCCCTTGTGGGACATTTAAAGCATTATTCTATTCTATTTGTACGTATTGGATGTTCAAAGGACAGAAAAATATTCAAGTTTTTTGTCAGATTCAGTCGCTTATGTCACACACATGGAAGAGAGCTGGCCACCTCATTTTGAAGTTTCAGACTAACTCCTACCTCCTGAGAGCAAAGCTGGGTTCTGAAAGAGATCAGATCCTACAAATTTAAATCAATCTTGTATGTGTGGTAGGAGGGAGGGGTGGTTAAGTCAGCCTCTTCCTACTTCCTAGTAGCTCAGAACTCCATAGTGTCTATACAAACATGCTGTAGTAAGCAACTACCTCGCACCCCGAATTCAGCTCGAATACATTAAAAATGAAAAAACCAAAAATGCTAATGACCAGAATGCACACACTCAACTTGTTACATATTTGACAACATAGAAAAACAAGACAACAGTCTGAATGTTTTTATTTGATATTATTGTTTTATTTGATATATACGATATTTTGTATATGATATATATCTTAAATAAAGCGCCAAATCACAAGTTTCTTCCCTGTTTGTACTGTAAGGTAAAAACAATACAGTACTACAGAGAAGCCCAACAATCAAATGATCCCCCTTTGAGCAAGCACAAGGCGACAGTGGGGAAGAAAAACTCCCTTCTGACAGGAAGAAACTTCCAACGGAACCAGGCTCAGAAAGGGGCAGCCATCCGCTGCGACTGGTTGGGGGCGATGGAAATGGATTTGGTGCTAAAATTCTGCTTCAAGATTTTAAAAGAAGCAAGGCAGCAGGAAAAAGGCAAAAATGTCATGTAATCATTGCTGCCCTTTAAAGCAGCACGTAAAGGGTTTTGAAAAAGCTTTTAACACTGCTGAAAAAAACCTGGAAATTTTGGACTTTTCTGGAGGACTGGGGAGCCCGAATTTCAAATGACTTATCACAGCCTTGTCAAAAGATGAATCATTTGACATCGCAGCATTTAAGACATTGTCTGAGGAGCCAAACTCCTTGATGAGGGATTTGGCCATTTTCTTAATGAACTGATTCTTGTCATTTATCAGATTTATGGCGGACTCTGTGCTGCTGAGTTCAGGCTGTATCAACTCTGTCAGATGGTTGATGAGAGTGTGTATTTCTCTTGAAGTACTTGTGGTCTTAGCCACAGATTGCATGGTCTTAGACTTACATTTTACAAGAAGTGTCTTAAAGAGCAAAAAGGAGAGGTCAGTGGACATTTCCTTAAAATCAGAAGATGACCTTGACACAACACCCATCTCTAATACTTCAAAGGAATCTTTAAGAGAGCCTGAAATGCTCGCAGAGCATTTTTCTGGAGAAACGCTCTTAGGTTCTGCCATTGGAGGTGAGTCGATGGATACCACAGACCATTTTTCTGGAGAAACGCTCTTAGGTTCTGCCATTGGAGGTGAGTCGATGGATACCAGAGACCATTTTTCTGGAGAAACGCTCTTAGGTTCTGCCATTGGAGGTGAGTCGATGGATACCAGAGACCATTTTTCTGGAGAAACGCTCTTAGGTTCTGCCATTGGAGGTGAGTCGATGGATGCCAGAGACCATTTTTCTGGAGAAACGCTCTTAGGTTCTGCCATTGGAGGTGAGTCGATGGATACCAGAGAGCATTTTTCTGGAAAAACGCTCTTAGGTTCTGCCATTGGAGGTGAGTCGATGGATACCAGACAGTATTTTTCTTTGTTCTTTGTTGAATCCATTTCACCAAATATCTCATGGATGACGTCAACTACAGCCTGTTCTACAGGGTTTAGAGCTTGGACACTTTCTGTTTCAGCAGTTATTTCACCTTCTTTTGCTACACCTGATCCTTCTGGAAGCTCAATTTCTTCCCCCTCCTGATCTGAATTTTCATACATTGCAGTCACAAATGTTATTTTCTTGGTTTGTGTTAAAAGCGTGAGACGTTTCCTGAGAGAGCGCCGACTGTTCAACATGTGCCAACAAATGAGCATGTCTAAATGTCTGAGGGATATTTATAGCCTCTTGCCTATGTGACGTTGCAGCACATCATAGCCAATCGAATTTCCTTTCAGTGACGTCACGAGCTACGCATGCGCAGACGCCTCACATATATATATATAAGGTTGACGTCACGCCGCAATGCATTGTGGGGTCTACGAATCAAAACAAACACACTGTGTTGGAAGACGATTACAAGATGCTTAAAAGCAGCTCAAAAGAGAATGGACTGTATAGAGACCGATTTCGTTCAGAGGGGAAGCAGCGGTACTTGCAGAAAATAGCGTGCATTGGAAATGTGGAGCCGTATGAAATACGGCCGTGGAGTAGAAACCCTGAAGACCAACTGCTATTGACGTAGCCTGACATATTTTCGTACCTTATCTGTGGAATCAGCGCGTACAAGTCGTCATTCAAACAAAGGTAAGTCAGCTCGAGTACTGCGAGTGAAATGCGTTTGCTTTCCCTGCAAACATTCACATTAGTGCAGCATAAATTCATTCATGAGGGGAAATTACAGTGAGAACATGTGGAGGCTGTTAGGTGGATAACATAGTGAGTTCAGTGCATTGATGTGACATTGTCCTGAAGGATTTAGTTATTCTTTAAGGTTAAAGAAATTGCAATGATTTATTCATATTTATTATAAATAATTCTAATTATACATCTTGCTTCCATATTTGTATCTTGTGTCACTAAAAATACATTTTATTTTAATTTTATACATTGATTAATGACCTGCAGAATCTCCTTATCATATTAAGGGATTCATAATTGTCACTTTATGCTTTCTCCATCTCTAAAGTGATTACATTACACATTACATACTTTAAGTTCATTTTCTGCAGGCAGGTTTCTGACAGAGAACAGGCAGGTTTAGAATATAACATGCAGCGATGGACACATAAAGAAATGAAAAATTACATGTATGTGCTAACTTTCTAAACACTTTGTTACATTTATGATGAAGTAGATAAAACACATTTATGTCGGCCTTGGCTCATAGTTCTTGTCTTTAAATGAACTTTGTCTGTGTGTGTTTCAGGTCCTGCACTCAAAGACTGAATGAACCAGCATTGCAGCCATGGGTCACTGTGAGCATCACAGGGAATGTTGAAGCCGCCCACTGCCCCTGTAAGGCCGGAGTCGCGGAGACCTGCACCCATGCCACTGCTCTTCTGTTTAATGTAGAAGCAACAGTGTTGATCTGTGGCACAAGGACTGTTACAGATGAACCTGCATACTGGGTTTTGCTGGGTAATGTGACCAAGATACAGTCAGTGGTTGGCCATAACATAGACTTCTCCTCTTCAGCTGCCCAAAAAAGGCTCTTGATCAAAACATAAACAGACCATCCGTATTGAAAGGTAAAAGGAGCCGTGCTCCAAAAAGAAAAATCCCAGCTGCTTTTATAGTTTACAAATGACAAAATGTTTCCATAAAATCATGAGTGTTTACATGATATCACCCACTACTAACATTACTTTATTTACTGTATCTTTTGAAAAAATACCGCTATTTATACAGCAAAAGACTTAAGAATATTTAACAGGAGCAGGTTTCATTTTTCCCTGGTTTTACTACCACACTGTTCACCAAACCTTCACCATCTTATCCAGAAGGGTCACCTCTTCACCCTCACATGGAAGAAGTAATCTGATTGGCATGGTGGTGTGTTTGAAGCAGGTCCCTTGTGTAGCGCTGCAACCCAGTCACGATGTTTCATCCATTTCATTGGCTGGTTTGCTGCAATAATGCCAAATAATTAGCAACTCTATAGATAGAAGGTAGTTCTGCAAAATCACTCAGTAGGATGTTTGTTCTAATTTGCTATGAGCTCAGAGCGCATCGAAAATAAAACTAATAGGCTATAAAGAGTGATATGAACATATTTAGAACTTACCAACTGGATATCAGCTCGTCTCACAGCTGCTATCCAGGCTAGACGCCTTCGTTTGGTAACATCGATACACGAGCTGCCTCATGTTGCTTCCAGGTTGGGAAAGAATGAAAAGACAAACCCTTTTCAAGCTTATTCTCTTGCCGGTCGTGCGATCGAACATTGCAGCCGACCACACAGCAAGAACGAACCATGGCTGTCGTGTGTGCCTTCGCTCCTTTTTCTCTTGTGCTTTGTTTAGACCCCCAAAATCCTTTCCACGCCCACCCCCGTGACATCACGCTCCAAAGCCCTATAAAAGCCCATAACAGGCACTCACAGGCTGTATCCAAATTCAGGGTGTAATTCTTAAACACTTAAAGCTGAAATTCTGCATTGCACATCTTAATTAATCAAACCAAATTACTTATGGACCTGTGTACATGTGCACACATAGTCTGATGGGTGAGTGAAGTTGAACTCATACCAAAGTGACACTATACCTCGTGCTGAGCATGATCCAGGATAAGTGATTTATTTGTCTCCATAAATTTGTGTTTGTTGTGGAAAAACTGAATCTAGACGTTTAGAATTCATGGCGCTGCAGTGCAGTTCTCAGTTATGAACACAGAGGGGCAGTGATGTCATTTCTTTCATCAGTGGCTGATCTGTTCAGAGCAAGAGCCCCAAAAAGTGAGATTTTTTTATATCTTACTCTCCAGATATGTACCGTAGAGATCAATTAACTCGATATGCTTGTGAATGTTCTTTTTAAAGAAATATGACCAATGGTAGAATTAGCAAACAGTGCTACACGGGTTACCGTGTGTCTTGATTTCCATTTAAATTTTTTTAAGCAGGTTTTGTTAAAACATGTTTAGGACCATGCTTTCTTTAGTTTTTGTCCATTACTAATAGTTTGTTTTTGCATTACTTCAGGCCAGTCTTGTTTTTAATTAATTTCAACTGGGCGGCTCAACATATAGACAGCTGATTTTTGAGGGCTAATATATACTTTAAAAAAAAAAAAAATTATGGCTTTAAGTTATCTTGATTGTTATGTAACCATTGATAACACATTTTTTAAATTGCTGTGACATAGTCATCACATCTCGAGCACATGGAGTCCGAGGTGCTTTTAAACTACTTTCAGTACAAGGTCGCTTAACTTCATTATGTCTTACTTCTCTCAACAATGTCACATCCACTGGCATACAGTCATCCGGCGCGCGCACACGCACGCAACAAATGTGAGTCGCATTTTTACCCACCTACTTTTCATACTCTGATGTAGATGCAAGTACTTTCAAACAGTACTAAAATGTTCTTTACGTCCCCTCAGTCATCTTTGGGTTTTGTTTTAGTTGTGAAACAACTAATTGCAGTCCATTCTGATACTTTGCTTAATAAAAAGAGGTCGGATGAAAATGAACCTTTAAATTTGTTTGTGGTTTTTTAAAATCAGCTCAATAAAAAAAGGTGGGGGGGTGATATCAGGTGTTTTTATATATATATTAGGATGCAGTGCATGGAGAAACACTGTAAATGAGTTTCCAGTGTTGCGAAAGCTTCCAAACCACCACAATTCCTGGATAATGGAATTTCTTGTGCACTCCAAAGGGGCCACGGGTTTTACTTCTAGGACTTTAATGAATATTTTTGTTTAGCAATCAGCAGTAAAAGGAAAATGCACAGGCTTCTGTCACGTAACGGTCACATATTGTTGTCTTTATTGTATACAGCGTTCAATTAGCAAAAAGCCAATTGAGAGCAATGGCAAACCCTGAAAATGTAAAATGTCATTTTAATTCTGGAGTCACTTCAATGCTCTCTCAAGTGCATCTATAAACAATTAAATGCAACATGCAGTGTCGGCACCTTTACTGTGCTCTGCATATGCTCAGCCCTCAGTGACCCTAAAAACTTCCACTTTGGAGTAATCCCACTTACAGCTGATCATGGAATATCTAGGAAGTGAAGCAGTCGGTGAAACCAAATGATCAACTGATTGTTTAAATGATATTTATTTCACAATTAGCATACTTGACTAATTTCAGCCTCTTACTTTTAAAGATTTTCTGGCCCTTATGAGCCATTACATTTTTTATTACTGGAAAGACGGGTGGTGGTGGTGTATGTGTCCTGACATTTTAGAAACTGTTTAGTCAAGACTGACTCAGGAAGAATGGAAGTAGTTTATTGCGTCCCTGCTCTAATCAAAGCCAACGAGAAAATGAACATCAAATACAGAAATAAATAACATGTTGCTGAAGACTTTGTAATAAGAGCTGGTAGGCTGCCTAACATCGGCATTCAGCAGCTTGCTTCCACGCTGTTGTTGTGCATCTTTCTGGATAAATTAGCAGGAGACAGCTTCTGAGCTTTGCTGGATAAGCAAAGGATGCTTGGCAGGGCTGTGAAGGTTTGTGCAAACGGTTAACAAATCCGTGGTAGGAGAAGCTGAAAGAGACACCTGTGATGCACCGGGATGTTGCTTTGAATCCAGAACATCTTAAAGCTCAGTCATGTTATTTCAATCCGTGGTTGGAAGCAGATAAATCTGTGAGGAGAGCTCAGAATATTTTATGGAAAATTCTGGATTGATCCAAGAAAACCTTAGAATGTGGGGCACGTTTGGTATGTGATATATTTTATACTTTAACATAGCGCTCTGTGCACATGCTCACTCTGCACCACTACAGAGCTTAGATTCTATCTGATTACATGCCTCCCAGAAGGCTTAATGGATTAGTCGACCACAGGAAATTATGCCTTTTTTTTGTTTGTTTTTTCATGTCATCTTGCAAGTAATTCATCCAGCAAATAAGCAACAATATTCAGGTACACGATGCATTCAAAGTAGCTTCAATGTGATGCTTCTTTTGCTGAAAGGTGTACGAAACCGAGATTAATAGGTTAGGGAAGCATGACGAAGGTAGCTCTCCTCACCTGGCTGGAACACAGTTGTGATGAAAAGATAATCCGTTCTGGTTTTTCATTTAAAACACGCTGGAAGTGATACATTGTTGCGTGTGGTTTGGGGTTTTTTTGTTTGTTTCTTGCCTCATAGTGAACCTATATACCATTTTTTCCATTTGGCACCAAATACAGAAAAAGGAAACCATCACCCTCAGTCTGAGTGGGTCATTTATCAGCAGAAGTTGGCTAATTCCCAAGCTGAAGAAGCACTCGCAAACCAAACATCTCTTCTGAGAGAAGCCTGGCCTACATCCAGGTAGCAGTACCATTGCTAAAAATCAACTTTGTTTAGGAAGGTTCCTGAATGAGTGAAGACACCCTAAAGTATCTGCATGTCAGTCATAATCAAAGCTGGTCAAACCGTCAAACCAGCTTTAATGAAACGCACTTGAAGTCTTTGTTTATTCCATCTGCAATACCATCTGGAAATTGGTCATCTTAATGACAATGGCCTCATTTTTCAGCATGACAACAATCCCAAAGACACAGCAAATGTAGGAAAAGCATAGCTAGATAGAATAGAATAGAATGCCATTATTTAGAAAAACACAATGTTTCAGTAACGACCGGACCTAAACATTACTGGAGCAGTGTGTTGTGCCTCCACGTATTTTTATACACGTTTCAGTAAATTACTGCATAAATTTTCCGTTTTTCTAGCAAAATGTGAAAAGGAAAGGAGGGATTGATGAACACTTTTTCACACTGTTATGTCTTTATGAAAGCAGGCTTTGCTCGTTTAGAGCTGCCTGGGTCAAGTCGCCTAAGCATCGCAATTTGGATTAAAGTCACTCAGATGCTCACCCTCACCCATTTCCCCTGCTTCCTCCTTTTTATGTGCTTTTTAAAAAATAGATGAGGCTAAGAAAATACCAGAAAAATACACTTCCCATAAAAATTCTCAGATAGCTGAAGAAGAACCACGTAGACAGGTTGGTGTTGTGTATGAGGCCCCAGGTTGAAAGTCTACAATGTAAAGATTTACTACATGAAATGAAACTAGTCATGCACATAGCTACTGATACTGACCAATCGTCCCACTCAGCCTCATAATAGATACACCTATGGTATCAATTTCAAAATTCTACATCATCTTGTTCTAAAGTTATCACATTTACAAGATTTTCAGACAACTTGACCTCTGACCCCTGACCTTGAGCCAGAGTTCACTAAGATCTGATTCTTTGCAAACACATTCATAAGGCTCGCAGAATGACTGTCCAACAGGGGGGAAGAACTTGGACTGCAAATGGATTCTTGTGATTCTCCTAAATTCTGCACTCACTGACATATTGCACCTAGTTGAATTCTACAATACATACATACATACTCATATGCAGTACAGGGGCCCCACAGGGAACTGTGCTGGCATGCACCCTGGATCCAGTGCAGGTGGTGGGAGACAGAAGGACTCTGGCCAAAATAACTTCTCTGATGGACAGAGTCTCCCACCCCGTGCATGTAAATGTTGCTGGACTGCAGAGCTCCTTCAGTGACAGACTGCTGCATCCTAGATGCTTGAAGGAGCGTTTCCGCAGGTCCTTCCTCTCTACAGCTGTCAGACTGCACAATCAAAACTGCTCCCAACAAACATAGAGGTTTACATCAGTGCTATGACAACTTCTGCTGTTATAACTTGCACATTACTTCTCTCAGTCTATATATACACTAACTTATTGGAAGTTACATGTCTACTTTTTAATGCACAGGTACAATACACAACCTGCACTTTTCAAAATATTCTAAATATTCTAAATATGTAAACATCTTTCAGTATCTTGCTCTGTTTGCACACTACAACCTGGGTTTGTATGTAAAATATGTAAACATTGTCTTTCTGTTCTGTGTGTATTTTTGTTTCTTTTTGCCGCTTATACATCAAATTTCCCCTTGTGGGACATTTAAAGCATTATTCTATTCTATTTGTACGTATTGGATGTTCAAAGGACAGAAAAATATTCAAGTTTTTGTCAGATTCAGTCGCTTATGTCACACACATGGAAGAGAGCTGGCCACCTCATTTTGAAGTTTCAGACTAACTCCTACCTCCTGAGAGCAAAGCTGGGTTCTGAAAGAGATCAGATCCTACAAATTTAAATCAATCTTGTATGTGTGGTAGGAGGGAGGGGTGGTTAAGTCAGCCTCTTCCTACTTCCTAGTAGCTCAGAACTCCATAGTGTCTATACAAACATGCTGTAGTAAGCAACTACCTCGCACCCCGAATTCAGCTCGAATACATTAAAAATGAAAAAACCAAAAATGCTAATGACCAGAATGCACACACTCAACTTGTTACATATTTGACAACATAGAAAAACAAGACAACAGTCTGAATGTTTTTATTTGATATTATTGTTTTATTTGATATATACGATATTTTGTATATGATATATATCTTAAATAAAGCGCCAAATCACAAGTTTCTTCCCTGTTTGTACTGTAAGGTAAAAACAATACAGTACTACAGAGAAGCCCAACAATCAAATGATCCCCCTTTGAGCAAGCACAAGGCGACAGTGGGGAAGAAAAACTCCCTTCTGACAGGAAGAAACTTCCAACGGAACCAGGCTCAGAAAGGGGCAGCCATCCGCTGCGACTGGTTGGGGGCGATGGAAATGGATTTGGTGCTAAAATTCTGCTTCAAGATTTTAAAAGAAGCAAGGCAGCAGGAAAAAGGCAAAAATGTCATGTAATCATTGCTGCCCTTTAAAGCAGCACGTAAAGGGTTTTGAAAAAGCTTTTAACACTGCTGAAAAAAACCTGGAAATTTTGGACTTTTCTGGAGGACTGGGGAGCCCGAATTTCAAATGACTTATCACAGCCTTGTCAAAAGATGAATCATTTGACATCGCAGCATTTAAGACATTGTCTGAGGAGCCAAACTCCTTGATGAGGGATTTGGCCATTTTCTTAATGAACTGATTCTTGTCATTTATCAGATTTATGGCGGACTCTGTGCTGCTGAGTTCAGGCTGTATCAACTCTGTCAGATGGTTGATGAGAGTGTGTATTTCTCTTGAAGTACTTGTGGCCTTAGCCACAGATTGCATGGTCTTAGACTTACATTTTACAAGAAGTGTCTTAAAGAGCAAAAAGGAGAGGTCAGTGGACATTTCCTTAAAATCAGAAGATGACCTTGACACAACACCCATCTCTAATACTTCAAAGGAATCTTTAAGAGAGCCTGAAATGCTCGCAGAGCATTTTTCTGGAGAAACGCTCTTAGGTTCTGCCATTGGAGGTGAGTCGATGGATACCAGAGACCATTTTTCTGGAGAAACGCTCTTAGGTTCTGCCATTGGAGGTGAGTCGATGGATACCAGAGACCATTTTTCTGGAGAAACGCTCTTAGGTTCTGCCATTGGAGGTGAGTCGATGGATACCAGAGACCATTTTTCTGGAGAAACGCTCTTAGGTTCTGCCATTGGAGGTGAGTCGATGGATACCAGAGACCATTTTTCTGGAGAAACGCTCTTAGGTTCTGCCATTGGAGGTGAGTCGATGGATGCCAGAGACCATTTTTCTGGAGAAACGCTCTTAGGTTCTGCCATTGGAGGTGAGTCGATGGATACCAGAGAGCATTTTTCTGGAAAAACGCTCTTAGGTTCTGCCATTGGAGGTGAGTCGATGGATACCAGAGACCATTTTTCTGGAGAAACGCTCTTAGGTTCTGCCATTGGAGGTGAGTCGATGGATACCAGAGACCATTTTTCTGGAGAAACGCTCTTAGGTTCTGCCATTGGAGGTGAGTCGATGGATACCAGAGACCATTTTTCTGGAGAAACGCTCTTAGGTTCTGCCATTGGAGGTGAGTCGATGGATACCAGAGACCATTTTTCTGGAGAAACGCTCTTAGGTTCTTCCATTGGAGGTGAGTCGATGGATGCCAGAGAGTATTTTTCTTTGTTCTTTGTTGAATCCATTTCACCAAATATCTCATGGATGACGTCAACTACAGCCTGTTCTACAGGGTTTAGAGCTCGGACACTTTTTGTTTCAGCAGTTATTTCACCTTCTTTTGCTACACCTGATCCTTCTGGAAGCTCAATTTCTTCCCCCTCCTGATCTGAATTTTCATACATTGCAGTCACAAATGTTATTTTCTTGGTTTGTGTTAAAAGCGTGAGACGTTTCCTGAGAGAGCGCCGACTGTTCAACATGTGCCAACAAATGAGCATGTCTAAATGTCTGAGGGATATTTATAGCCTCTTGCCTATGTGACGTTGCAGCACATCATAGCCAATCGAATTTCCTTTCAGTGACGTCACGAGCTACGCATGCGCAGACGCCTCACATATATATATATAAGGTTGACGTCACGCCGCAATGCATTGTGGGGTCTACGAATCAAAACAAACACACTGTGTTGGAAGACGATTACAAGATGCTTAAAAGCAGCTCAAAAGAGAATGGACTGTATAGAGACCGATTTCGTTCAGAGGGGAAGCAGCGGTACTTGCAGAAAATAACGTGCATTGGAAATGTGGAGCCGTATGAAATACGGCCGTGGAGTAGAAACCCTGAAGACCAACTGCTATTGACGTAGCCTGACATATTTTCGTACCTTATCTGTGGAATCAGCGCGTACAAGTCGTCATTCAAACAAAGGTAAGTCAGCTCGAGTACTGCGAGTGAAATGCGTTTGCTTTCCCTGCAAACATTCACATTAGTGCAGCATAAATTCATTCATGAGGGGAAATTACAGTGAGAACATGTGGAGGCTGTTAGGTGGATAACATAGTGAGTTCAGTGCATTGATGTGACATTGTCCTGAAGGATTTAGTTATTCTTTATGGTTAAAGAAATTGCAATGATTTATTCATATTTATTATAAATAATTCTAATTATACATCTTGCTTCCATATTTGTATCTTGTGTCACTAAAAATACATTTTATTTTAATTTTATACATTGATTAATGACCTGCAGAATCTCCTTATCATATTAAGGGATTCATAATTGTCACTTTATGCTTTCTCCATCTCTAAAGTGATTACATTACACATTACATACTTTAAGTTCATTTTCTGCAGGCAGGTTTCTGACAGAGAACAGGCAGGTTTAGAATATAACATGCAGCGATGGACACATAAAGAAATGAAAAATTACATGTATGTGCTAACTTTCTAAACACTTTGTTACATTTATGATGAAGTAGATAAAACACATTTATGTCGGCCTTGGCTCATAGTTCTTGTCTTTAAATGAACTTTGTCTGTGTGTGTTTCAGGTCCTGCACTCAAAGACTGAATGAACCAGCATTGCAGCCACGGGTCACTGTGAGCATCACAGGGAAGGTTGAAGCCGCCCACTGCACCTGTAAGGCCGGAGTCGCGGAGACCTGCACCCATGCCACTGCTCTTCTGTTTAATGTAGAAGCAACAGTGTTGATCTGTGGCACAAGGACTGTTACAGATGAACCTGCATACTGGGTTTTGCTGGGTAATGTGACCAAGATACAGTCAGTGGTTGGCCATAACATAGACTTCTCCTCTTCAGCTGCCCAAAAAAGGCTCTTGATCAAAACATAAACAGACCATCCGTATTGAAAGGTAAAAGGAGCCGTCCTCCAAAAAGAAAAATCCCAGCTGCTTTTATAGTTTACAAATGACAAAATGTTTCCATAAAATCATGAGTGTTTACATGATATCACCCACTACTAACATTACTTTATTTACTGTATCTTTGAAAAAATACCGCTATTTATACAGCAAAAGACTTAAGAATATTTAACAGGAGCAGGTTTCATTTTTCCCTGGTTTTACTACCACACTGTTCACCAAACCTTCACCATCTTATCCAGAAGGGTCACCTCTTCACCCTCACATGGAAGAAGTAATCTGATTGGCATGGTGGTGTGTTTGAAGCAGGTCCCTTGTGTAGCGCTGCAACCCAGTCACGATGTTTCATCCATTTCATTGGCTGGTTTGCTGCAATAATGCCAAATAATTAGCAACTCTATAGATAGAAGGTAGTTCTGCAAAATCACTCAGTAGGATGTTTGTTCTAATTTGCTATGAGCTCAGAGCGCATCGAAAATAAAACTAATAGGCTATAAAGAGTGATATGAACATATTTAGAACTTACCAACTGGATATCAGCTCGTCTCACAGCTGCTATCCAGGCTAGACGCCTTCGTTTGGTAACATCGATACACGAGCTGCCTCATGTTGCTTCCAGGTTGGGAAAGAATGAAAAGACAAACCCTTTTCAAGCTTATTCTCTTGCCGGTCGTGCGATCGAACATTGCAGCCGACCACACAGCAAGAACGAACCATGGCTGTCATGTGTGCCTTCGCTCCTTTTTCGCTTGTGCTTTATTTAGACCCCCAAAATCCTTTCCACGCCCACCCCCGTGACATCACGCTCCAAAGCCCTATAAAAGCCCATAACAGGCACTCACAGGCTGTATCCAAATTCAGGGTGTAATTCTTAAACACTTAAAGCTGAAATTCTGCATTGCACATCTTAATTAATCAAACCAAATTACTTATGGACCTGTGTACATGTGCACACATAGTCTGATAGGTGAGTGAAGTTGAACTCATACCAAAGTGACACTATACCTCGTGCTGAGCATGATCCAGGATAAGTGATTTATTTGTCTCCATAAATTTGTGTTTGTTGTGGAAAAACTGAATCTAGACGTTTAGAATTCATGGCGCTGCAGTGCAGTTCTCAGTTATGAACACAGAGGGGCAGTGATGTCATTTCTTTCATCAGTGGCTGATCTGTTCAGAGCAAGAGCCCCAAAAAGTGAGATTTTTTTATATCTTACTCTCCAGATATGTACCGTAGAGATCAATTAACTCGATATGCTTGTGAATGTTCTTTTTAAAGAAATATGACCAATGGTAGAATTAGCAAACAGTGCTACACGGGTTACCGTGTGTCTTGATTTCCATTTAAATTTTTTTAAGCAGGTTTTGTTAAAACATGTTTAGGACCATGCTTTCTTTAGTTTTTGTCCATTACTAATAGTTTGTTTTTGCATTACTTCAGGCCAGTCTTGTTTTTAATTAATTTCAACTGGGCGGCTCAACATATAGACAGCTGATTTGAGGGCTAATATATACTTAAAAAAAAAAAAAAAATTATGGCTTTAAGTTATCTTGATTGTTATGTAACCATTGATAACACATTTTTTAAATTGCTGTGACATAGTTATCACATCTCGAGCACATGGAGTCCGAGGTGCTTTTAAACTACTTTCAGTACAAGGTCGCTTAACTTCATTATGTCTTACTTCTCTCAACAATGTCACATCCACTGGCATACAGTCATCCGGCGCGCGCACACGCACGCAACAAATGTGAGTCGCATTTTTACCCACCTACTTTTCATACTCTGATGTAGATGCAAGTACTTTCAAACAGTACTAAAATGTTCTTTACGTCCCCTCAGTCATCTTTGGGTTTTGTTTTAGTTGTGAAACAACTAATTGCAGTCCATTCTGATACTTTGCTTAATAAAAAGAGGTCGGATGAAAATGAACCTTTAAATTTGTTTGTGGTTTTTAAAATCAGCTCAATAAAAAAGGTGGGGGGGTGATATCAGGTGTTTTTATATATATATTAGGATGCAGTGCATGGAGAAACACTGTAAATGAGTTTCCAGTGTTGCGAAAGCTTCCAAACCACCACAATTCCTGGATAATGGAATTTCTTGTGCACTCCAAAGGGGCCACGGGTTTTACTTCTAGGACTTTAATGAATATTTTTGTTTAGCAATCAGCAGTAAAAGGAAAATGCACAGGCTTCTGTCACGTAACGGTCACATATTGTTGTCTTTATTGTATACAGCGTTCAATTAGCAAAAAGCCAATTGAGAGCAATGGCAAACCCTGAAAATGTAAACTGTCATTTTAATTCTGGAGTCACTTCAATGCTCTCTCAAGTGCATCTATAAACAATTCAATGCAACATGCAGTGTCGGCACCTTTACTGTGCTCTGCATATGCTCAGCCCTCAGTGACCCTAAAAACTTCCACTTTGGAGTAATCCCACTTACAGCTGATCATGGAATATCTAGGAAGTGAAGCAGTCGGTGAAACCAAATGATCAACTGATTGTTTAAATGATATTTATTTCACAATTAGCATACTTGACTAATTTCAGCCTCTTACTTTTAAAGATTTTCTGGCCCTTATGAGCCATTACATTTTTTATTACTGGAAAGACGGGTGGTGGTGGTGTATGTGTCCTGACATTTTAGAAACTGTTTAGTCAAGACTGACTCAGGAAGAATGGAAGTAGTTTATTGCGTCCCTGCTCTAATCAAAGCCAACAAGAAAATGAACATCAAATACAGAAATAAATAACATGTTGCTGAAGACTTTGTAATAAGAGCTGGTAGGCTGCCTAACATCGGCATTCAGCAGCTTGCTTCCACGCTGTTGTTGTGCATCTTTCTGGATAAATTAGCAGGAGACAGCTTCTGAGCTTTGCTGGATAAGCAAAGGATGCTTGGCAGGGCTGTGAAGGTTTGTGCAAACGGTTAACAAATCCGTGGTAGGAGAAGCTGAAAGAGACACCTGTGATGCACCGGGATGTTGCTTTGAATCCAGAACATCTTAAAGCTCAGTCATGTTATTTCAATCCGTGGTTGGAAGCAGATAAATCTGTGAGGAGAGCTCAGAATATTTTATGGAAAATTCTGGATTGATCCAAGAAAACCTTAGAATGTGGGGCACGTTTGGTATGTGATATATTTTATACTTTAACATAGCGCTCTGTGCACATGCTCACTCTGCACCACTACAGAGCTTAGATTCTATCTGATTACATGCCTCCCGGAAGGCTTAATGGATTAGTCGACCACAGGAAATTATGCCTTTTTTTTGTTTGTTTTTTCATGTCATCTTGCAAGTAATTCATCCAGCAAATAAGCAACAATATTCAGGTACACGATGCATTCAAAGTAGCTTCAATGTGATGCTTCTTTTGCTGAAAGGTGTACGAAACCGAGATTAATAGGTTAGGGAAGCATGACGAAGGTAGCTCTCCTCACCTGGCTGGAACACAGTTGTGATGAAAAGATAATCCGTTCTGGTTTTTCATTTAAAACACGCTGGAAGTGATACATTGTTGCGTGTGGTTTGGGGTTTTTTTTGTTTGTTTCTTGCCTCATAGTGAACCTATATACCATTTT